ACACATTTGTCAAATAAATCCCAAGATGATGTAACAGGTCATGAGTTGCTGTTTATCGTATGTTTTATTAACCTAATTTTAAGGCCTGCTGAGGGCTAGATTAGTTTTATTAAATTTTGATATGTGTACTTTTTCTTTGCTATGACTTTACAACATGAAATTAACTCTACATATAAATATATCAGATTCAAGAAACTTTACTTCAAAACTTTAAACAACGGCATATTTCATCATATATAACACAGAGTTTGGCTTTAAGTGCACATACCATGCCTATAGCACTCCTTCAGTTTGTCAGTAAGCCACAGAACTGCCTTGGCACCCATCTTTGTGCCGAAGTTTCTGTCGAAGGGTGTAGGAGTGCCGCCCTGCAGTTGGTAGAGGACACGCAGTTAGAATAAATCACAGAAAAATGAGGAGCAAACCAGTTATTGCGTTCGGACATTTCCCCTCATGAACACACCTGCTGCATGTGTCCGAGGACATTCTTACGGCAGTCAAAGACGCCTTTTCCCTCCTCTGAGTACAGGTTGAAGATGAAATCAGTCGTGTAGTTGGAATTGCAGCTTTCATTCCTTTTGAACAATGAACAGTAAATTATTCTGCTGTTGCCTGAAAATAAATGGACTTTTATCTGGTTTCACAGCATGAATTATGGGTCCTGTTCACAGCAGACATTGTAAAGGTGTAATAATGGCTCATTTGAATTCAACTGTGACCGTGAGCCAGTCAAACTAGAGCAGATAAATGAAATTCAGCTTTTACTAGTTTTATTATTTAAACCGTGACTTTCCTTTCAGTTAAAATTGCCTGTTGTATAAAAGAACTTGTCTCCTGGGTTCTTGTTGTTTTTTGAATATCCTGAGTTTTTGGTGTTTGTACTACAGAAAATTGAAGCACTCGCTGTGAATTTGTGATTGATGCTCTGCTAAATCAGTAATTCACAATGACTAGAGGGTTACAACAACTGGATATTCTGAAGATTTACTCAGTAGCAGGTAACCAGATTACTGGTTTTATACCAGGTATTTACCTTCTTCCTGTTGCACTTCATTTCTTTTCCCTGCCAGAACAAAACCTACCTGAGAATCAGACCTCTCTTCACTGTTGTCTTCATCTTCTCCACCATGTGCTGGACGTTCGTCTGTGAGCAAAAGTTCACCTAATTACTTTTCAGACTCCATAAACTTTAAAGACAGAAAACTGAAACCAAAAGAGTCCAACACAACGAATTCATTATGTTTCTGTCTTCAGGAAGAAACTGCCCTCTTAAGACAGTCGCTTCAAGCAATGAACTCTGGCTTTCTTTTGGAGCCACAAACACTCAAACTTGATGGCCACGCCCTCTTCTTCACCGACTTTCAGCTCACCTCCAGATCTTTAATGTCGAATTTTTCCTCAAAGATGTAAGCGGCATCAGCCCCAGCAGCCAGACCTGCCATGGTGGCTAAGTAGCCACAGTATCCACCCATAGTCTCAACGATAAACACGCGGCGCTTGGTGCCTGCTGCAGACTGCTTGATCCTGTCACAGGTCTGCAGAGAAACAAACCAGAAAGTAAAAGATAAACTGCTTCCTTTTTAATTTATGTTTGTGCATGTGCTGTTCAGCCACTAACGGAGGTGATGGTGTTCAGGGCAGTGTCGGCGCCGATGCTAAAGTCAGAGCCAGGGAC